GAAGAGAGGGGGGGAGAGGGGGGAGACACGGGGGAAGAGAGAAGGGGGAGAGAGACAGAGAGAGAATGGGGGGAAGAGAGAGAACGGGGGGAAAGAGAAACTGTCCCCCCCTTGTGAAGTCTAAGAGGGACATAACAAAACATCCTTTGGACTTATTATGTTAGTGAGCCAAGTTTCACATTGTAATTCACTGCTGTAGCTGCTCTTCAATCCTCTTTACTTCTATATGTCCTTAATGGTTTACAAACTCCTAGGAATTGCCAGAAGTACTTCACCTGTTTTCCTCTGGATAGCCATTTCAACCATACTCAAACTTTTAAAGACAGTAGCATAAAAAAACAAAAACTGGCTGTAAAGGCAGAGTTTAAGCAGGTTATCTCCTATGTATGTTAATAGCGTTATCCCTCCTTCACTTCATTCTGCTTCCATCCTGGCTTTGTGTTGCTTAAGTGCTTGTTCAGCATGCAGTTATAAATAAATTGCAGCCTAGACCTCCTGTTCATTTAACTGATTGCAGCAGTAAATAGGTAGTTTTGAAATTTGTCAGCCCCCAATGCAACAGGTTTCTTGTAGCACAAGCCTGTTTATTTTCACAGGCTCCAATATAATCTGAAAGGGGCTTACTATCAGAGCATTTAGCACAATTGGACCTCACTCTAGAAAGCCACCAGCCAGTAGGTTTTGCAAATATTCCAAACTTGTATCCTAGCTTAATATATGTTTTAAGCCATGTTTGGTTAGAGATTAGATACCCACCCCAAGCAGGTGAGGAAGTAAATGTGTTTGAGCTATACCTCTTCTGACTTGCATGTAGAGACCGACCTGAATATTCCATGCAAAAATCAAGCCTTCCCTCCTATCCAGAAAACATGCAGCTTAGAGGAAGAGTCCTCTGGCTGACATAATACACCACAGAAACAGCTTTGCCACCTCATCTACTGTTATTTAACATGAATTATCTTCATATTTGGAACTAATACTTGTTTTGTTCAGGATAAACAGCCGGAGCTGTTTTATTGTACAAGCTATGTGGTGAAAAACTAAATAATTCAGCTCTGGCAAATATCCTGACCTGAGAACTCGAAAAACAGGTGATTCTGAAAAAAAGATCAAACTCAACATGCTTTGTAATGATATTAGTTCTTTATTGGACATTGCAAGATCAAAAAGGAAAAACAAAGCTTGCACATCTTTGTGACATAACCATCAATGCTGAAGAGTAAAGGTGGCTACTCCTTGTGATTTTGAACAGCCAAGAAGGTGCTTGAAGGGTCTACAAACTGTAAACACAGATGGGTTGAAAGGGAAAAAGCCTTCAAACTCCAAGCAAGATTCCCATCTTATACTAATACCTGCTGCAACAGAGGAACACTGATACAGTTTTTTTGCAGCCTGAACAAGTTCCCACCAGGTTACTAGATAAACTGGTTAATAAGACTTCTGCAAAGTGCTACCAAAGGTAAATTCACAACATCAGGAAAAAGTTACTTGGCATTTTAGAACTCTTCTATTTCCTCCCAACCACCAGCTGGAAATTTATTTCCCCTTTCATCACACATTCAGAAATCACGAAGTCTGTTCATGTCACACTTTTGTGATTTGCCTCAAAAAGACCCCACGAAGGCTTTCCGTATAAAAGAGCCTGTGCTATTGTTGCAGTTTGAAAAAGAACCACTAGGAAGTACATCCCACTGGACTAAATGGGGATTTATTTGAAGGTATGATCCTGACTGTGCTATAAAAGTGGATTAAGACATTTCTCCCACTGCAATGATCCTGTTCAGATCTATGGAGAATTGGACCACAATAAGGTGGCTCTTGCACCAATCCTTCATGCAGCCCATCCAACGGAATCTTAAGAGTGGAAGCTGGGAAACAGTTACTGATGGGTAAGAAAATCAAACCTATCCAATTTAAACAGCAACCATGTATTTAGAAAACAGTGATGACCATTAACAGCTCTAAAGAGACTATCAAAATGAAATGTAGTAAGCAACAAGCTTCACAGCTCTGGCTGCAAAAATAAAAACTCAGAAGCTATTATCCAATATGAACTAGATTTTGTGTACTAGATGGTGAGCTTAATGGAACTGGTGGTCCTTTTCCAGTGTATTGGGAGAGTCACCGTTCGGTTGCCACCTCATGGGAGATGAGCAAAGTGCCATCTTGGTAAGGAAAGACCTCAGCATCTTAGACGACCACCAAGGTTGACACCAAAGCTAGTTTTTACAACCAGTAGAAAGTAAAACAGCAGTCAAGTTAAAAAACCCACATAACTCCAAGTTGTCTTCACCACAAATGGCTCTCGGTGTACAGCAGTCTTGCCCACATTTTCTCCTGCACTAGGAGTATCTCCGTGTAGAAACAGCTATACACATTGACGAAATAGAGCAGATATGTTCATTTTGCCACAAGCTCATCAGCCAGGCTCACCCTGTGTACTGGTACCACATTTCTCAAGTGATAATGCAGATAACTTTTTACTACACAGAGGTAATCTAACAGGGAAAACATGTGATTTGGCCTTCAATGGCAGGTCAGAAGATCTACTTTCTTGTATGCCTGTGAGCAATGCAAATCAGTTACATTCTGTGAGTATCCACATGCACAGCAAGTTGAAGGGAATCTATTGCCACCTTCTGAACATTCCATTCTGCTCCAAGACAGATTACTCAGGGGGGAAAAAATCTAGATCTGAAGCACTGCAAGTAAAAAAAGCAATAAAGCACAGTGGAAAAACAAGTTGAACATGTTCAATGAGGAACACAATGCCTCCCCCACACCGTGAACAAAACTTCCTTCTACCTTTCCAATAAGTGGTGTGTGCAAGTAAATGGAGACACCTGAATCATAATACACTGGTTAACAGCACAAATTTTGGAAACTTCAACATAGCCACCTATTCCTTTGAATGTGCCACACATGTTCTAAAACATTCAGCAATCACTCCCTCACCTGAACATAAAGTCCTTACCTACTGCCCTCCCTCCATTTCGCAGCAAGGGTGGACTCAGTGTAATTGAGCTCTACTTTTAGCTCCAGTCCCCACTGCACACAATATAGGCAATAATCAAAGCATGTAGGTGGGGGCTTGATACAAGAGGTAAATGGGATTCAAAGTGGTATGATTCAACACTCCTCCCCAGAGTTGCAAACCTACTGCAGTTCTTTCTTCAAAAGCTGTGAGCCTTTCAGGGCTGCTGTACGGCACTGAGCAATAGACAAAAGAAGCTTATGTATTACTAGCAACAATTCAGGCTGAGAAAACCTACCACAGCCCTATGATTACACTTGGGGTCAGACATTTGAACAGGTCTTCCAAGTGGTACATATCAAGCTGTGGCCATTACAACCCAAAGTGTCAAAGACATGGAAGTAACACAATCATTGTCTTCTGGGAGGGGGGCAGGGAGGACAAGAGAATAAACACAGAACAACCCTTTCCTCAGCATTCAACTTAACAACTGTACAAACCACCCACCACCCTTCTGTGCTTTTCTGTTGCATAAAAACCATAATCTGTCTTTGGTAACACAGAATTTGTTTTAGGTGAAATTAATCACAATAGTGTTTAATGGATGAAAGATAAAAGGTATGTTTTCACAGCATAATTCTAGCAACCGCTTACACTGTTCTGCCAATTTACAATTTAGTCATTGTCATTAACAGTGTTGAGAGAATGTCCTATTTAATATTTATATATTTATAATATATATATATATATTTTATAAAGTCTGGAAGATCAATATAAATACTGCTCCAGAAATTAAAAAAGTGTTTTACATCCTCAACTTCAATATTATAGCTCAGTGTCCTGTTCTATTTTTAGAATCATCTGTAAAAATCTTTTTAACGGCGGAGAGGTTCAAGTTTTCGTAACTTCAGTGATGCGCTGGACGACAAAGCATCCTGATTGGAGGAAGAATGGACAGTATCTGGGGACTGGAATAATACTCTGCCCCGGTGATTAAATACATAAAAGGATGGATGGTTCCTTAATGTGTCAAATGTCCTTGAAAGAGAAAGAGAAAAAGACATTGGAATTAATGCTGAGTCATCACAATTAACATCACAATTAATTAATAGTTCTGTGTGGACCAAAATGGAATACGTGAGGCCAGGGCTGGGAACAACAATGGCATATAAAGATGATGCAGAATGAGATCGCACCTGAATGCTTAAAGATAGTGCCTACTCCCCACCAGTGTTCACTCTAAGCTGAGTTAGAGTGAACTAGCTCACAGTTTTTTTAGACTCTGACTCACGCATTTCTGTCTTAGCTCAGGAAGGATAGCTCCAGAGCAAAACTTATGCAGTAGCCAAATCGCTCGCTCACAACTGTAATGCCAGTAGCTAGTAGAATTTTTGCTCGCAAGACTCCACAGCTGAGGGGGAGCATTGCTCCTCAACCCCAAAAAAGAGATGGCAGTAGACAGCCAAGGTCAGAAGGAGATGGTTGCTGGGTAGACGAGAGAAAGGGCAGGTGATGCCAGAGATATTACTCAGAACAGTCTAGATCCAAGGGGCTGGATTCTGCCAGCTTTTCCACTAGTGCAACAGGGAAGAGCTCCTTTTTGGCTTCTACGCCCCGGGGCTAATGGGACTTGTATAGTCAAATAGCCACATAGTCTGCAGTGACGAGGGGAATCCAGTAAGATTACACCTCCTTTTTGTGCCAGCAAAAGTCCTGCCAACCCAAAGTCCTGCCTTGTCCATTGGTGCAATACCTCAAACCCACCCTCAGCAAGGCCATAATTTACCCTTTTGGTCCCATAATGAATCAGTGCAACGTAGGGCAGGTATCTTGCACTTTTGATAAGTAAAAGTGGGAGCCTTCATGAGTTTCAGCTTCTCATCCCTCGGGCATTATGTAATGACAATGGCCAGTTGCCATATTGCTCTGTTCTCCACAGCCTGAGGTTTGGTACAGAGAACACAGGTTCCAACGTCCTACTAAGAAAGTTCTTTAAGGCTACTTGGCAGGCAGGACAAGAAGAAGAGTGGGGATCAACATGAGAAGAATGGTAATAATGGGAAGTAAAAGGCATTTAAAAAATTAACCATACTTATTTTTTAGCTCTGAAGTGGCATCCATGTCTTTAAATTCTCCTGCAATATGAACTATCCCATAACAGGTAACCGCAAAGGCCAACAGTGTTTGAAGAACTATCTGTAAAGACATATTAAGAAAAACACATCAATGGCTTACAGTAATTAATATCTTTTGTTTAGTCTTCAACATCCAAGCTTGTGGTGCTTTTCAAGCAGGGAGCACCAGCAGCTTCACAGAAGTACAATGGACAGAACTGACAGTAGAAGGAAGAGTTGATTAGGTGAGGATTCAGGTGATGGGAGGACACACAACAGTTCTACACAAACAAACAGCAGCCAAATGCCAGAGGGAGCAGCTGTTTGCTCAGTAGAGCATAGGGAGTAGAGTAGCTTTCTGAGTATTGACTGGAGAGAGCAGGGAATTCCTAGAGGGATGCTTCTGTGGGAGGAGACAGGTGCCAAACTGAAGATTTGTTTTAAACTCAGAAACAGGTCAGAAGCTACAATATAAGTCTGAAGATTCAGCTAGCAGAAGCAGAAATTACTCCAATTCAGTTGTGGAAACTAAGTATACAAAAGTAACACATCAAACAATACAGGGCACTCGCCATAAGATACTCAAATTGTTAAATTTGCAACACATCAAACAATACAGGGCACTCGCCACAAGATAATTGTTAAATTTGTTCCCCGGAACTCAATTTGACTTTCCTGCAACTAAAAACAATTTAAATGCAAACATTTAAGAATTACAAGGCTCTAATCTCATCAATGGAAGAAAGAGAAAATGCAACTTACATCTACTGGCAAGGTTTCATCTTCCTTCTCTGTTAATCTCATATAAGAACGATCTATAAAATAAAGACATGCCACTAAATGACTTATTTCATTCATTATACTAAGAGCATATACAAAAGGACCTCAACTACTGAGTTTTCTCATCAGCTCCATCAGACATGCAGAGTTTGTCTCTGACAGTATTAATCTGATTTTATGGGACTTATCCTGTGGGGTCCAACAGGGTGCAATCCTATCCCCCATGCTCTTCAATCTTTATGTAAAGCTCCTGGACCAAATAATTTGTAGTTTTGAGGTTTGGCATCATCAATATTCAGATGATGCACAGCTACACACACACACGCACTCATACTAATCTGCTGATAAAAGCAGAGGTCCTAAACTGCTGCCTGGCTATTGTGGTTAAATGGCTAAGAGTGAACAAATTGAGACTAAACCCTGGAAAGACAGAATTAATGCTGGCTGGGAAGGCGAGGGTGTTGAAGGACACTATTCTCACTTTCAGTGGGGTTCAGCTGACCCTTGCTGACACCGTTAAGAGCCTCAGGGTTACAATGGACGCAGCATTATTGCTGGAGAAGCAAGTTAATGCAGTTGTAAAAAAGACTTTCTTCCCACTCGCCTGGCTTTCTGCAAACTATGGAAAACTGAACAATTCAAGAAGGCTTTTCTATGCAGGCAATAGGGTAGCACTGTATATAACGCTTCACAAAGTTACTTGGATAAATTACTGGGGATTGTGGTCTCTACTTCTGTGTACACTTTGCTGTGGGTTGGATCCTACTGTGTAATTTTGCATCATTTAATGTGTCATGTCATCAGTTCTGTTTTTGAGATTTCTGGTTGGTTCTGCAACCCAAACCCTATTTCACTGTTTATTGAATGTCCCATCTTGTTGATTGTATTGACTCACTCTGTATAATCCGCCTTGAGTCCTAGTGAGAGAGGTGCTATAAATATAACATAAATAAGTCTGTTTTGATTAATAATGAATCTACCTTGTTCTCTTTAACAGAGAAATGTCTCTGGGAGGTATGACCAAGGAATGCAAGAGACTTCCCCATTTCCAGATACAAAGACAAGACCACACAGTCATTACCACTAACTGCCATTTCAGCTAAAAGCAACCATGTGGCCTATTTTGCTGCAAAAGATGTCAACGGCTCTGTTGAATTTCTACATTTCAGTAACAGGGATTCAGCATTACACAACCTAATGTATACTTTCCAGAACCCAGTTAAAACAGATGCATGTCGATCTGTATACATTTGCAATGTGGTTCCCAGATTAAGGTGGTAGTGTTGGGAAGAGGTGCATCAATAATTAAGTCAGTGTTTCTTACCTAATAGGCCAAGGTGCTTACACAAGTATTTAGAACAGAATGGCAATCTACTATTATCTTAACACTTTACTGCTAACAATGTGTAAGTAGCTGTAACACTGTAAAAACTCTCTGCCACTGAATACCAGCTGCAAGAGTGGAGGGCAATTGCCTCAATGAAGAAATTACACAATCTATATACATAGAGATCACCATTTCAGTCAAAGTAAAAAAACACAGATTGAAAAATTTAAGACTAGCGTCTTCAGTTTCAAGTACATATATTCAATAGGCTATAGACTATTTGAAAGATTTTTGGGGAAAGCACTTGCTTTTTAAGTCATAGGCTGGCATGCCACTGTTAAACCTATGAAAAAGAGACCTGCACGACAAACCCATGAAATTATTAGTTCAACTATACTGAAATCCAGATTGCTTCTAGATTTGTTCTGACTGTTACTGGCAAGCAGATTAGAGGTGTGGAAATGGTTAAGGCACAATGTTGTGCTTGTAATTGCTGCTCAGTACTTTTGCGAAGTACCTAGGTCATGCTTCTAGGCTTGGCACAAAGTTGCACAATTCTACTAAATCAGCATTTACAGATGACTTTATGGATAGGTGGCTTCGAAAGGGGACTGGACAAATTCATTGAAGATGGATCAATCAACAGCTATTAGTCATGCTGGTTAATGGGATGGCATGTGTGCCATCAAATACCAGTTGCTGAGGGGCACCTGCTGGGGGAGGATTACTGCCTTCTGTTGCTTCTGTATATTGGACATCTCTGATTTTACATGACTCTCCTTAGGCTCATTTTTATAGACGGTAACATCAAACCTACATTACTTTGTTGTCTCTACTGTTCTCCCAATCCACACAAATATACTCTCTCTACTGACACACTGATCCATCCTAAAATCTCACCTGACATTATGTTCAATTTTATTCTTGTCCCACTGGGTTACCCATAGTAATAGCCTGCTATTCATCACCTGTCTTCTCACCCCAATTCCTCCAGTACAGTATACCATCCTTTATTTTCGGCTCATTCCCAATACTAGGCACTATTCTATTGACTTGTAACATCACCTCCATTTCATTCTTTTTGGGCTTCACACTCCCAATACTATCCTGGTACCTCACCCCTCAGTCCCACCACAGATACCAATCTTATTATTTGTCAGGTCCAGGCTTCTAAGAATTGCATTAAAGGCAGAATTAGCTCTGGCTTTTCTCCATCATAGTGCTGCAATGACAAAAGGGGGAAAGGGTTGGTCCCTTTTATACAACTTTTGGGACCACCATGGCTTTCCCTAGATGTCACCTTAAGATCACTGTGCATAGGTGGTGCCTACACACACACAAGATTCCCACATACTGTTACATTCTAGCATGACTACAAAATAATCATGGAAGCAGCTATGTAGATAGCCACAATCTATTTATTAGTCTAAGGTGTCACAAGACTCTTACTTGGGTAAATGGGCTGGTTCGATTCTCAAAGGGCAAGATCCCAAGGGGGCAAGGCACAGGTTCAGCCTTCACCAGTGTTCTCTCTAAGCTGAGTGTGAGCTAGTTCACAGTTTTTTAGCCTCTGGCACACACATTTTCGTCTTACCTCAGGAAGGATGGCTCCAGAGCAAACTAATTTATGCAGTAGCCAAATTGCTCACTCACAACTTTAATGCCAGTAGCTCAAAAAGTAGAATTTTTGCTCACAAGACTCCACAGCTTAGAGGGAGCATTGGCCTCCACCGCTGGGTGCACCCATAAAAGTGAATGGATTTCCATCATTCCACCATTAACTCCTCAGAGGAAGAATGGGTTAAAAATGTGAAACAAAAAGAAGCAAAAGGTTGCTCTTGGAGACACTGTGGTAAGGGCAAGCCTTGCTTATCACCTTGACCCCAGAACCCCAACAATATGGATACTCTCCTTGATTACTATGGCAAACACTCCCTATTCTTTCCTCTCCTTCCCAATTCTACCTGTGCTCTGCATCCTTAATGGCTCTACCACCTAAGGAACCCCAGGCTCTGTCCCAAACCCAACATTGGTCACTTCTTTCCTTCCACCTCCAAAATCACTTCCTAGAGGGGCTGACAACTCTTGAAGTGGCCGCTATAGCTGTACCCTTAGGAACCAGTGGGCATGCAGACCCTAGTAAGGGACACGTCGAGCTCCACGCTCAGGAAAAAGCTTCGCCCGCAACTCAGGCAGCTCTTTCCAAGCACAGGATCAGGCCGAGTCTTTCCGGAACAGTTAGAAATCTGGATCTTCAGCCCCTCAGACGTCCCTCCTCGGCCTAGACTTCCCTTTCACAGCCCTCCTCCCGTATAAGTTAGGGCACCAGGCTCGAAATCTCCCGACCCCCCCCCCTATATATCAGGGGAGGACGCGGGCATCACTCACGTTGTGCTGCGGAGAAGGCCGCGTGCGCCAGGGCGAAAAGTCCGACCCCAACCAGCCCTTTCCACAACGAGGAGGCCGCCATCATCTACCCTCCTCCCTCAGCCACCGCCGGGGGTGCGCGCGGACGAGGAGGCGGGCTAAGTAGAGGGCGCGCGCACTTTCTTTTTCCGGCGCGCGGCAATGACGTTAGGTGAGGGCTCGTAAAAAGAGGGTAGAAGGGCGGAGCTATTCTGGAAAGAAGCCGGAACAGCCAGGCAGCGGCGGGGCTAAAGTGATGGACGGTTTCTGTTCTCCGTGGTTTCTGTTCGTCCTCGCTCTGTTTGGGGCGGGTCTTTCTTATCCCCCTGTGCCTTCCCACGGTGGGAGGGGAGGCGATGGGTAGTCGCTGCATCGTCCTCCTCCACCCGCCCCTTGTAAACCAATAGTGAGAGTATAATACATAATTTCGAGACCCTTCAGCCCCAACGTAAAACAATAAAAAGTAACCGTGAGTGACTTTGTGTAGGTGAGCGAACTGGGAAGTGTCTGGTTCGCTTACACAGAACCCCCAGCCCCCCATATTTAATATGATAAAAACACAGACCTGTTTCGCAGGGTTGTCAAGATTCCTGAGACTAAGGGATGCCACTTTTCTTGAGCGGCGGCTGATTTGTTTACCTTGCATGGTCATGGTCGGTGCTCCAGACCAGTTGTGTCCACTATAAACCGGGTTCCTGTCACAGTTCATTGTCAACTCAAGAGGTGGATGGGTGTGAGCTATTTGGAGGAGAAGAGTGCTCTGTCTGCAGAAGCAGGGGCTAAGAAGAAGGCAGTTTCCACGTCTGAGGAAATCTAGACGGGTAGCGCCGTTGTGACAAAACCAACAAAATGTTGTGGCGCCTTACATGACACACAGGGTTATTTCGACTTAAACTTTCATGGACTTTGTCAGATGATTTTGGTCATCTGGAGATGAACTGTAGGGGTGGGAGATCTCCAGGTGCCATATGGAGGATGGCAACCCCACTGGATATCCAGGAAAGAAATTTTGGTATCATAGTGGGCAGTTTGAGAAAACATAACTAAGTGGCAGATTCCAGGCTGGGGATTATAAACTAAAAATACTGAAAATAAGATTACCAAAATGCCTTTATAAAATCTATAATGCATATACATTGGTAATACATACACAATTCTGGCTGTCCTGTCTCAAAACAGGTACTATATAGTTTGGAAAAACAGAGAAAGGCAACTAGGGCCCTGGTCACACGGGCCGGATATCGCGGGGGGAGGCGTGGCTAATTGCCCCGGAGGAATCTAACGCGTGGCTGCCCGAGCACACGTCCTGGTCGAGGTCCCGTGGCTCGGGGGAAATGCCGATCAGATGGGTATCCTGCAGCGCGGCACAGAAGCCGCGCCACGTGATTGCACTAGCAATCGCTCTTTGTGCACATGCGCTGTTGGGCGCTGTTGCGCAACCTGCAGAGACAAACAGCGGTGGGCGCCAGATGCCACGTAAGTCCACCGGGAACGCGATCAGACGCCCGCCCTTGGCCCGCCTTTGGCGGGGAGCCACGGGTTCGCCACGGGAGCACTGTGCTTCCCAGATGTTGGGGTGAGATCACGCCTGGAAAATCTGCGGGACTCCCATGCCTCTCCCACGGCAACTTTGCCGTGTGACCGGGGCCACAAATGATCAAAATTCCAGAGGGATAGCTGAGTTTGTTGCAGCAAAAATAAAATAGGGGTCTCATGGAAACCGACAAACAAATACATTTTTATTTTAGCACAATTAGACTCAGCTTCAACAGATAATGAACAAAAATTTGTTAGAATAAGACTTTTTCAGTCATTACAGTATCACAAGACTCTAGAATGATTAATAGGTTGGAATACCTTCTCTAGAAGGTAAAGCATGGGGCTTTTTCGTTAGGGGGAAAGGATGGTTCTGGAATATATGACTTAAGTTTATAATGGTATGGAGAGTGGATTGAGACAATTCTGTACTGCAACTGGAGATCATCAAATGAAATTGATTGACAGTGGATTCAGAACTGCCAAAAAGGTAACTTTTCACACAACACGTACTTTATGGGATGCCCAGCCACAACATATAGCAATGGTGACTAATTTAAATAGAGTTTAAAAGAGATTAGATAAAATCAAGGAGGATAGTACTGTCAGTGGCTATTAGTCACAGCAGTTAAATGGGCCTTCATATTGAGAAGCATATGCATAATTTAAGAATAATGTTGGGGGGGGCAAGAAGAATTTTCCTGTGTGATGTTGCATGGAATCACTGTCTCCTTTAACTTGGTCCGTCCCTCAGCCACTACATGTGTGGTGTTAGCATGCCACAGATTTGTAGCCCAGGCTGGTGTTGAACTCGTCTACTGACACTGTGTGAGTAGTTGTCCACATTAAGCCAGACACTCCTTGGAAGCCTCCCAGAAGCATCTGACCACTGCTGGGTCCAAGATGCTGGTCTAAGGAAGTAATCCTAAACACCTCTACTCAGAAGTAAGTCCCATTTTATTCAATGGGTCTTATTCCCAGGAAAGTGCCTCTAGGATCGCATGGTAAATGGATGAGGTTTTATGCTGAGGTTATGTATCCTCTGATCTGGAAAATATATACCATCCTTGACAAATCAATTCTCCTCTAAATCTAAGCTACCTCATTTTGAAAATGTAAATAAATTTTAAAAAATTCTTGGCCTTGTGCCAAAATCTCAAGTACTACAGCAACCACATCGTCAAGTTGTACATCTTGAGAGCCAGTTTGGTGTAGTGATTAAGAGTGGCAAACTCTAATCTGGAGAAGCTGGTTTGATTCCCCACTCCTCCTCCACATGATGCCTGCTGGGTGACCCTGGGCCAGTCACAGTTCATCACAGAGCTGTTCATCTCAGAGCTCTCTCAATCCCACCTACCTCACAGGGTGTCTGTTGTGGGGAGAGGAAGGAAAGGAAATTGTAAGCCGCTCTGAGGGAAGGGCAGGGTATAAATCCAATCTCTTCTTCTTGATCAGGTGTATTTACGGATATAAATGCAGTTCTGACTGGATACAGCTGGTAAATTTGGTGTCAGCTGCTTTGAATATCCTCTTCCTTCTCAAACAATAGAATAAACAAAGCATCTTGTATTCTTTCCTTTACGTTGCCTGGCAGGGAATAACAGTTCTTGTTAGATTATATTTGAAAGAAAGCCAGGGTAGCAAACAAGATCAAACTGTGTTGTTAATCTATGTGTTTATCACATGGTTGTCATTTTTAATGATAGCATGCACTTACAGCTTTAATAGTTTCAGAGGGTAACTGTGGCTGCGGTCACACAGAGCATTAGCCACGCTACAGAGACGGAAGATAGGCGGATTTTCCGGGTGCGATCACACCGCAACATCTGGGAAGCGTAGAGCTCCCGTGGCTCACCCAAGGCTTCCCCCCGAAGATGCGGCTTAAAAAACTAGTACCTCCGAGGTACTAGTTTCTGGAAACCGCGGGGCAAGGGCGGGCGTCTGATCGCGTTTCCGGTGGTAGGTCATGGCATCCGGCGCCCGCCCATGATCCATCGCTAAAAGGTGGGTTTTTTTTAAGTCTCCACGGGATGCGCACAAGCACCCAACGGCGCATGCGCACACTTCGTTTAAAAACAAACAACACAGCCCCCTCCTCTTTTCCGTACCCCCCCACTTCTGGCTCGGCCTTCTCAAGAGGAACTCTCTGCACCGGACGGCAGAGGGGGAGGTGCAGGGGGGCGTGGCGGGAGGGCGGCTCGGCTGAAGCTCCTCCTGGAGGGGACTGGACGGAGGACACAGTTTGCATTCCTCTGCAGCCCTGGAAGGGGTTAAACCCGCGTAGCCTTTTGCTAGAGAGGCCGCTTCTTTGCCTCTCCGCAGGATTGTCCTGTGATCGGCACCTCCCCCCTAACTACGGGACCTCAATGGGACCTCGTCGGGACATTTGATTGCGCAGCCGCACGTTATTTTGCTCCGGGGCAAACAGCCACGCTCCCCCCCACATTTTCTGGCCCATGTGACCGGGGCCCTTGTTGGTCTGCAGTAGAGTAGTTAAATTCGAGTCCAGTGGCACCTCAGAGGCCAACAAAAGTTTCCACGTATAAACTTTCAAGAGTCAAAGCTCCCTTCATCAGACACAAATAGGAATGGAGATCTTTTGCCTTTGCCTCCCAATGCCTGTGAGGGGAGTATCATTGTCCAGTGTCCACCATAGGTTGTGGGTTGTTAATGGTGTGTTGAACTGATTTGAGCTGAGAGCTGTAAGTGACCAGTGGTGTTCTGTTGTTGTTGCTGTTGTTTCATTTGGTATAATTTGTTTCCCTTGGTATAATTCTGGCTTTGTTGACCTGTTTCCTTACTACATCAGGTGGGTATTATAATGCCAAGAATGTCTTTTGTAGGTTCTGCAGGTGAAAATCTCTGTTTGAGAGATTGGAACAGATGTGCTGTAGCATAGAGCATGGTTGTAGACAATGAATGGGTTGTAGTGTTTAGAATGGTGACTGGAAGCATGTAGCTATGTTTGTTGATCAGTAGGTTTCCAGTATAAGGTGGGTTTTATACTTCCATTATGTACTTGTACAGTGGTATCTAGAAGGTATGTTTCTTTTTTCTTTTTGTATTTGTGTGTGCATTTGGAGGTCATGGCGACCTCTGGTGACTGACCTCTACTGGGGGCCTGGAGGATATTCAGAGAGGTGGCTGAATAAAGCCTGGCCCTGCCTCCCGCCTCTGGTATTTCAAGGTCTCCCATCCAAGTACTTGCCAGAGTTGACCTTGCTTGGCTTCTGAGATCTGACAAGATCGCCTGGACTATCCTGGTCAGGGCTAGAAGATGTGTTTCTTATGTGGATTGGCTCATGGTCAGGTTGATGGTGGGTTGGAAGTTGCTGAAGACCTGGTGAAATTTTTCTAGTGCTTCTTTCCCATGTGTCCAAATAATTTAAATGTCTGATTACAATATGCATTGTACCTTTGCATCCTTTACAAGCCTTCTTTACCACCTCTCCCCACCTTCTGACTGTGATAAAAAGATGCAGATATCTCCATTCCTACTCGTCTCTGACAAAGGGAGCTTTGACTCTCAAAAGATTATACCCTGAAACACTTCTTGGTCTCTAAGGTGCTACTGGACTCAAATCTTACAGTTTCAATGTATTTTACTCCTTCAAGTAAATAGGATCGGGGTTTGAGGTGATGATCATAACCATGCTTACAATCCTATGCCACAATAAATGTGGTGTAAGCATCTTTATGGTGCTGTATAACTTTTGAGCCAGTTTGGTGTAGTGGTTAAGTGTGTGGACTCTAATCTGGGAGAACCGGGTTTGGTTCCCCACTCCTCCACTTGCACCTGTTGGATGACCTTGAGCAAGCCATACTTCCGGCACAGCTGTTCTCGGAAAAGAGCAGTTTCTGTCAGAGCTCTCTCAGCCCCACCCACCTCACAGGGTGTCTGTTGTAGGGAGGGGAAGGGAAAGGAATTTGTAAACTGCTCTGAGACTCCTTTGGGTAGTGAAGGGTGGGGTATAAGTCCAATCTCTTCTTCTTCTTCTTCTTTTGTTGCTGCAGCAGACTAACTTGGCTACCCATCTGGAATTTTTAGATATACTTTCAGGATGATGCACCAAGTTTTCCAGGGATTCAATCCTGTTGATTTTAATGGGCTTGCATTTAAGGTTGCATTTGTGCACATCTACAAAGGAGCCTCACTAGACTCACCGTGAGTCATTTAACATGTTTTTATGTTTTTTATTTTATGTTTTTATACTACAATGAAACTTTTTATCTTTAAGGTACCACAGGACTCTTGTTTCTGCTCCAGTGGACTCTGTCACAAAGCAGTGCATGAACTTTTGTGTTCCCCAGATCTCTTAAATCCTAAACAGGGTTACAGCCTTTTAAGTCAATAGAAATCAATGAGCTTACTGGAGTAACTCTGTATAGGACTGCAAAGTTAAGTCAAGGTGGATGTTAAAACAATTTATGAGGCTTGCATAGCACTTCCTGCCAGCCATAAGAGAATTGTAACTATCTACAGATGTGGAGGCTTTCCCATCATGTCCCAAAACAGCACCCCCCCCTTGCTTAACATTCTTCTTGATAAAGGGTTCTATTTATTTATTTATATTTTGGATTTATAAAGCGCCCAATCCCTTTGTACACAGGGCTCTGGGCAATGTACAACAAAGTTAAATCAAGGTGGGCAGCTGTGTTGGCCTGACGCAACAGAACAAAGTTAGAGTCCAGTGGCACCTTTAAGACCAACAACGTTTGATTCAAAGTGTGAGCTTTCGTGTGCAAAGCACACTTGGTCAGACACTGGAATGGAATTACCGATCGCAGTTGTAAGACAGTGTTCAAATCAATAAAACGACAATCAATAATTTCAGGTGGCGCGTCAGTGATCCCCCCCCCCCTACTCCGAGGGTTGAAATCCGAAGGCTTGGTCGCTGCTAATGAAGCCGTTGACATGATGACAGCTGCTTTGGGGTCTTTTTTCTGTGGCCTACCAACAGCCCGGCAGCCCGCGATTTGGGTATGAACTCCGTGGGGGCCTGAGCTCCCAGTAAACATGCAAAGATGAGACAGCACATGACGGCAGCCCCTAGCACTGATTGGAAGGAAACCCTTCTCGAACCAGCAGCGCTTGTTTCTTTGCAAACTGGCAGGCTCGGGAGAGAAGGCAAGGATTCCAGGCACGCTTTCTGACCCAAAGCCATACCAACACAGGTCTCTCCTCTGCCTGTAAACATCACGCCACGGAGGAAGGGGGCTACGCGCTTCCTCCGGCGCCTGCTCCCTAGGCGTCCGCCTCGTGGCGCCTGCGCGCTCCTCTTCACGGCCGCCTCCTCGGCTTCCAGCCCCAGCCCGGGGTAGAGAGGAGGAGCGAGCGGGTGCCAAAGCCATGGCCACCCTGGCCCAGCTGGGACGATGCCGGGGAGCCGGGCCGGGGAGCCCCGCGGCCCCTCGACCAGGGCTTCTGGGGATGCTGCTGATGGCGATGGCTGGGCTGGACACCCGGGCCGGGGCAGGAGCTCTGGCGGATTCCCCCGCACTGGCAACCCGGCCCGTGGCCCTGGAAGAGGAGATCGTGTCCGAGAAGGCGGCCGAAGCGAGCCATCGCCAAGACAGCGCCAACCTGCTCATCTTCATCCTCCTGCTCACCCTCACCATCCTCACCATCTGGCTCTTCAAGCACCGCCGGGCGCGCTTCCTCCACGAGACGGGTCTGGCCATGATCTACGGTGAGTGGATGGCCAGCGGGCTGCGTCCACACGGCTCCGTAGCGAGGCGGCCGAGCCCCCGGCCACGACTATCCCCCCCAGCCAGACAGTCGGTTTAGGACCCCGAGGTCTAGCGGACCCGCCCACTACATTACTACTTCCCAGCTCCTCAGCCGTAGAAACAAGTCCTCCAGACACCGCAGTTTAGAAAGACGCTTTTCCCGGACTTCCCTTCCCTGGACCTTGTTTATGCCCAGCATCTTTGCTGTCTGTGAATCTGTTTCAGGAGGCTGTTGCCGATGAAAGCTTGTAATCCGTTTGTCTTTAAACCGTTTGGCTGCTTCTAAATGCTTTGGGGGGGGGGCGGCGGATGGAGCCTATTGCCTGTTCTGTGAGCTTCCTAGAAGAGGCATCTGACTGGCCACTGTTTACAAATGGACCTTTGGTCTAATCCAGCAGGGCTGTTGTTATGCTGTTGCCCATCTATTCACTGAAAACACTCATCCAGCAAATGAGCTTCTTTGTATATATTTTGTACTCACTTGTGATATCCCGGGATTCATTGATCCATTTGTCTGTCAGCTGCACTTTGACTGTTTGCAGAGTTGCAATAATCTCTTTAGAATACTGAAATCCAGAAGCCACATTTCAAGTGTTTGAAAGCTAGAGAGGACAGCAACTGAACTTCTTAAAGCCAAGATTCTGTTGAACTCCATTCAGATCCTGAATTCTTGGGACTTGCACCACAAGAGTGAGCAAACCACATAACAGAGGCTGGTCTCCAGTTGGCTAGAATCTAGTGAGCCACATCCACCGGGTACTGAGTCCTCAAATGACTACTCAGCAGCTGCATTCCTCCCTCCCCCAGCTGAGAGCTACATATTGTATTTGCATTCTGAAATAGAGGTTTTATTTATTTATTTTCTTTATTTATACCGGTTGTTTTCCTCAGTGAGGACCCAAAGCAGTATACATGGTTTTCCTCTCTTCCATGTTTATCCTCACAACAACTCTGTGTGGTAGGTTAGGCTGAGAGAATGTGACTAGCCCAAAGTTACCCAGCAAGCCCCCATGGCAGAATGGAGTTTTGAACCTGGGTCTCCCAGTCTGACACTCTAACCACCATACCACACTGACTCTCAATAGGCCTCAATCTGTGTAATACCTTTTATGATGTCCAACCAAATTGACCCAAAGCTTTGTGCAAGCTTTCAAGACTACCAGGACTCTTAATCAGGCTGGATGTGACAAGATTTAAAAAGATAGAAGGGTGGAAAGCAGATCTGTCAGGCCGTGGTGGAAAGGACTGGTCTTGCTGGCTTCCTCTGTGAGATGCCAGCGGGTTATAAACTTTATTGCTATGCTGTAGGGTTACAGTATGTTGTTTGTTCTTTCACTAAAACACAGAAACTATCCAGAGGCCATCCTAAATTGAAAATGTGCAGGTCCCTTGCAGGCTGAGGCAATTAAGAAGCACCTTTATAGTGCATGTGTTAACGGTGTTAGAGAGACATTTGAGATGTTACACAAGATCAAGAGTCCTGTTGGGCTCGAAAGCTTGCACAATGTTGTCATAAAAAGTATTACATGGATTTTGGTCTTGTTTTTCGATCTTTCATGGACCAATGTGGCTGTACCATCTTTTCTCAGTAGGCAGCCACGTAACGTCCTGCAGTTTACATATCTGTCTAGTGCCTTCTGTCTTGCGCCTACACTCTAAGTATCCTTAGTGTGGATGTACTATCCAAGATCTATGAATCCTCCCAAAGCCCCTGCCCTGAGTTGAACTAGCTCTGACAGGCTGAGGCATCTCTTTTCATTTTCAGTGGTTCTCACATGCCTGTTCTGCCTGATGTTGTATCTGAATATGTGCATGGAGATTTATTCTGGTGGACTATTCCATCTACTGGTGGATCTTCAGTATTCTTTGGGCAATGATGACATAACTGTTGTTGGAAGTATCTACTTGTTTGGTGCTACCAGAGTCCCACCATAGGTCTATGATTGCAAACTGAGTTCTTCACAGCGCTCGTATATTACCCAGGGCTGCTTTATCCATCAGTGCTAACATTTATAGCACATTTGAAGCCCAATGCTATGTAAGACTAGTGAAGTGACTGGAAATTTTGAACAGTCCTCACAGTATCCTGCTTTCAGTACTTGAATCTTTAAGGGGTCATCACAAAAATAGTTGGGAAATTTACAATATAATTTCTTTAGGGAGAAAGCTGGCTGTTCAATAGAAATACACTAAAAGCTGGAAGACATTTAACAGTGCAGTCTTATGCAAATTTACTTCAGTCTAAATCCATTAAAATAATTTGGTTTGAACTGGGACAACTCAGTATAGGATTGTGCTGTAAATATTTTAGGTTGTTTGGTTTCAGGGACTAAAGTAAGCAGGCTAAATATATCTAAATTTTATTATAAAGTTATTCACTGAACTTATTTTATTTTATTTATGAACAAGCAGACACAAAATCTGGGTTATGAAGAACTATCTGGCAGCTCATTCTATGCATACTCTTGGAGTATTTTTAGCTCAGGTGTTTAGCAAACACCTGTGTTTCCACTAAGAAGGTTTGAAAGATACCACTGTACCTTCTTTGTCACTGGTCATGCATCCCAGCTATTACTGGAGCAAATGCAAATTAAGATTTGAGTTTGGATGTGGAGATTCTGTTTAAAATACCTAGTCTGCCATGAAGTTTATTGGCAGTGTATGTCTGTGCTTCACATAATTGTTGTAAATGGCTAGCCATATTCGTTTGCTTTAAGGTGCCACAAGATGGCACCTTAAAGATAATAACAGTGCAGTCCCATCCAGAATTACTCCAGTCTAGGCCCACTGAAACCAGTAGGCTTAGACTGGCATAACTCTGTGTAGGGTCACGGTGTAGATTTGTCTTTAAGTTGAACATACAGGCATGTGAAGGTGCTTTAGATCAAATCAGACCATTTAGTCCAGTATAGTCTGCTTCGAGTGGCAGTGGCTTTCCGGAGCCATGGACAGACACACTTTCCCAACTGGAGAGTGCCAAGGATTGAACCTCAAAAACCTTCTTCATTCAAAACATATGCTCTGCTGCTGAGTCATAGCCCCTTTCCCATAAGGAGACAGAAGACTTTTTGTAGTTTCATCAGAGTTGTTTTGACAACAATGGAATAATACAGTTAGAAAGTTAAGCTTGGTAAAGTAGTTAATAACAGTGGGCAAATGCTATAGGAGATTTTAACCTTAGCTAGGCATGTATAACCACAGGAAGTTTCTGCACCTGTTGCCTTTTGTTAGTGACTGGAGTCCGCTGAAGCCCATGTTTATTGATCTTGTTGATGTCACTCTTGAATAGGTCTTTGGATATTAAGTTCACTACCCTTCAATGCTCAGAGGTACTTTCTTTTTCCTGTCAGTGAAATTGACATACCATATAAAAATGACATTTTAATTGATTAGTTGAATATTTTGATATATAGATGGGTGTCAAAATTTTACTATTCTTTCATTCTCAAAAGTGTTTTTTTCAGGATTTTGCCTGGGATTTGATAGATATGCTGTCTAAATTTTGTATATGTGCCAAACTCCTATTTTGAGTGAATGAACTCTAAGTGAAAGATGCAAGCAATGTCCGGGGCGGGAATAAAATTCAGTAACTTTTGCTGGTTTTATAGTTTTGATTGTCCCAGAATTTGGAATATTAAAAAGTTTTTTGGGGATAGATTTTATAGTTTTTATATTTTAAGATTGCTGGGCCTGAAAGCCCCCAAACTGGTAATCTCACACATAGTTAAATATATAACAACATGAAAAACATCACATATTAGCAGTACACAACTAAAGATCAGATGTTTTGGAGCCACCATGAGTTTGAATCAAGCCACCTTAAGTCTGAAGGAAATAAAGTGAAATATAAATATTTCAAATAATAAATAAAATGGGAGTTATCAATATGTGGGTGACATTCAGCTGTATATCACCTTAACAAAACCACCCAGAACTGCCATCATCTCCTTTCTTAGCCAGTGCCTGAATGCAGCGGTTAAGTTGTTGAAGGAGAATTCAGATAAGAAGTGATGCTGATTGGTAAGATCTCTGCACTGAATGGGGTAGTTCTACTGATGGGGCACAACTTTTAGCTGAAGGACTCAGTTAAAAGCTTGAAAGTTCTGCTGGATCCAGGTTAACCTCCTGTTAGAAAAGCAAGTTAATATGGTAAAAGTTTTTAAAAAACCCTTTTTTTACATTTTTCAACAGATTCGTCTTCAGGCAGACATATTTTTCCTGGAACCAAAGCTCACAATGCTACAGTGCACAAGTCAACAATTCTGTGGAAGGCTTCTCCGGAGAAGCCTTCTATAGAATTGTTGACTTGTGCACTGGAGTGTTGCTTGCTTTGATGCTTGCTGAATCACTTTTTGTGGAAAACATAACAGCCTGCTGCATCTCTCATGCTTGCTTTGATGCTTGCTGAATCACTTTTTGTGGAGAACGTAACAGCCTGCTGCATCACTCATCATTTACGACTGTTGCAACCTTCATTAGTCTCTTATCAGGAGCAAGATAGTCTACAGCATTGGAATAGGTCTCTGTAGCTGTGGACTTTTCTATTAGTAGATAGGTTTTTGTAATATAATGAATATGTATAAGGTACAGTAGGGTCTCTATTGTATTTAAATAAATACATGAAGACGCAAGTGCATATTAGTAGAGTGTGTTTGTTTCTTTATGTCTGTGTTGGGGAAAAGGCAGAGTGCACAAATGTCCTAAAAAAATTATAATTGCTGACTGATCGATTTGCTTACGATGCCTTTATACAATTGGATGCTGAGTGGTGCACAGCAATGACAGGTCTGTGAGCCTGGGGGGAGGGAGGATGTGCATGCATAAGAGACCACCAGTGGCACTGTACTGTTTGAATATCCAAAAAGTAGCAGTGAACTGGCTTGAGTAGCTGAACTGTTCATAAAAAAATTGACTTTCTGCTTACAGCAGATGAATTGAATCAGTGGGTGTTTGAGCATCCCTACTGAGAATATCACACCATGGGGAATACAGATTATACTTCTGTCACTTTCTGACATGTTGGATTCAGACTACATGGGCAGTTTCTGCTGCTGCAGCCACCCCTTCCTGCTGCAGCCATCCCTCATGTCATTCCTCAGGGTCCCCTCTGTCTCAGGAGCAGCATTTTGTGGCGATCAGTGAGTTGCAGTGGGAAGGAGGAGGCAGTTTCATTCTGCCACTGGAAAATATAGTCTGGTTCCAACCCACAGTGTTTGGAGGTTATATGGAAACACTCTATGAAGTCCATCAATCTTTCCATGATTTATGAGCAGGATCCTACATTTCTGTTGGGTCCAGTTCTTGGATACATCGCTGGAAAAGTTGCATGGGTAATAAATTCCCATGTATTGTTTACATGCTTATATGACAGCTTCTAAAAACATGCCTCAGCCTCTGAACTTTACATCAGAATTGAATGTAGCCCTAACAGAATGTGGTAAAGACCTTCAAAAGTTTAAAAGATGCCAGGAATAGCGGGACAAGACAGGGCAGTCATGGAGAAGCCAGAAGACCTGTTGAATGTCCATTTCATTTTTTTTAATTATTATAAACTTTTCTCCCTCTTTAAATTAAAGTTGAATTTTTCAGGAAACTCAGCCATGAAGTTTGCTTAGTTTTATACTGCTTAGATGCACTGAACATGCACAGTTGTGATTGTTGCATTTTCTCCTTGTGAGATTGAAATCTTACAAGAACAAGATATTTCTTAGGCCTCAAGAAAGGAGTTTATTAAAGCCTGTTCTCTTTCATGAGAAAAGCAAGGATTCTACCCATGCATTCAGGGGACAAATTAAGACAAAGGGACAGGTGCAATGGACATTTCCTTGAGTAGAAGCTAGGAGTTTCTAAGATTGTTCAGATTTTCGTGGACTGCTGGAACCAAACAATCAAGCCATGTTGCAGTGATGGGGTTTTCCAACAACTTGGCTTCATCAAATGAATTTCTTTCTGGCTTGTGTGAAACATGAGAAGCAAAGGCAGTTTTTTCAGGGGGTTTCCATCAAATCAGCTTAATCAGATGAATTTCTTGTAGGAAAGATTAAAATTGTGAAAAGCAAAGGCAAGTAACTAGAATGTGGAAGTTACCTGAAAAACGGAGGGTAGGTCTCTACAAAAAATTGTTCATGCAGGACCTTACTGGGAGCTTAGGAGAGTGCTAAGTGCAGGTCCAAGCAGGTTTGAGCTTGCAAGATCACTTATATGGTATTGAGGAAAGGGCTTCCTGTAAGGCAAGGGCCCGCATCTTGATGATGGTTAAATGCTATCAGTTTCCTACAAAGTGACCATAGCTGTTTACTTTAGCCTAAGGTTCTCTACTCCTCTAGTTTGCCCTTTCTCTTCTCTTCTCCTTCATCACTAGATGGACATGTAGGTGGTCATTAAAAGTACATGTCATGTGAACACCAAGGACTTGACTGGGCCTTTGTATAGCTGTTTTTGTGAGGCCTTCTACTTCGTGAATGAATCAGAGCTACAGCCAATACTGGTGCCTTGAAGTCCCTATCTGCTGTTCTTTAAGATGCATCTGTTGAGTGCATATATATTGCATTTCTGTTTAATGCACATTATAAACATAACGTCTGAACCAGTGCTCACAGTATAAGGCACTGAGTTCTTGTGACGTTGAATTTGTGATCTCTTGGCATATGTTGGTAGAAGCCACACATTTCTTTAAAGTGTCTTAGCTGTCAGTTACCATGATAAACTGCTAACCTTCCGTGTTATTCTGTACAGGTGTTCTAGTAGGCGTTGTTCTTCGTTATGGTATCCACGTTCCCAGTGATGTCAACAATGACACCTTAAAGTGCCAAGTGCAGACAAGTCCTGCCACACTGCTGCTCAACATCAGTGGAAAGTACTATGAATACACCCTCAAGGGGGAAATCAGCCCACATGAGCTGAATAATGTTCAGGATAATGAGATGCTCAGAAAGGTAAGCTGATTTGGTGATCCTCTACTGAGGAAACAACCTTCTGGAAAGGTACACGTTGGATTAATTTGGCTGTCCTGGCATTGCTGGTCAGCAGCTCCTAGTGTGCCCTGCAAAAACAAACAAGAATGTATGTTCCCATAGAATCACAGAATCACAGGGCTGGAAGGAGCCATACAGGCCATCTAATCCAACTGTTTCTCTTTTACTGTCCTTTCTATTAGGGCTAAAACAGACACAATGCCACTCCCAGCATTTCCCCCCTTTTCTATAAATAGCAGGCACACATGGTTTTCAACTGGATTGGGTCTGTGGCACGAGGCTTGTGTGCAACCCCCCCCCCCCCCCAGCCAATTCATTTCTCACCCTGAAGCAGCCCTGGGGCTGCAATGCCCCCATTTGCATTGGTTGGGCAAGCATACGTGCACCTGTGTCAGTACCTATATTTTTCCTGCTACAGGGCAAATAGCTCCTCAGGCTCATTTCAGGTCAGGAAAACTGCAAGAGAGGGCTTGAGGGCCCCCCCCTCTCCTCATGCCCTGGTTCCAGTGTTTAAAGAACAAAACCGAACATTTGGCGCTTGAGTCATAGAACTCTGGTGTCTTGTCTTACTTAGTGCTCACTTGGGCTGTTATCAGTGATAAGCAGTGGAATTTTTTCTGCTACTATATATTTCCAAGAAGGTTTACAGTTCCTAAAACACACCTTGTTTCATAAAATTAATGTGTAACCTAAGGAATTAATACCATACCAGGCAAGCTGAGCAGCTTCAAAGTTGTAATTAACGTTTTCAGGTGACCTACAAAACATTTTAATATTTTAAATAAATGTAATCAGCCTCATATGTACAGTACTGAAATCACTATGTGTTATTAATCCCCCCCCCAATAAATTTGGCTATCGAAAAATAATTCTGATATATTTCTGCAGCACATGAAAGTAAGGTGGCACTTTAAAAAAATTTTGTTTGCTACATACAAATTAGATAAACATGATTTAAAATTGATTTCTATCAGAACATCTTCCAGAAACTTGCTATTCAGAATTTTTCTATTAAACGTACACAATTTGCCCTGAATTTTTTTCAGCTTTACCTGTATGCTGTTATGTTAGCTCTAATGTATGCTACTACATCTCAAGTCTTCTGCTTGTCTAATGCCGTGTGTGATGCTAGCTAGAACTTCCAGTAAGGAGGATTCTTGTGTTCATGCAATTCTCCCCACCACTTCAATTTAAAGAGGGAGAGCCAGTTTGGTGTAGTGGTTAAGTGTGCGGACTCTAATCTGGGAGAACCGGGTTTGATTCCCCACTCCTCCACTTGCACCTGAATAGATGACCTTGGGCAAGCCGTAGTTCTGATAAGAACTGTTCTTGAAAAAGAGCAGTTTCTGTCAAGAGCTCTCTCAGCCCCACCTACCTCACAGGGTGTCTGTTGTGGGGAGGGGAAGGGAAAGGAGTTT